CTCATGAATTGATGCAACACAGATCTTGATGAGAAGCTGATAAAATAATATAATAGAATATTTTCCTGTTAACAATTTACTGGTGTTTTGACACTGAATGGATAGAAGGACCTGCCTTGTACTAAGGCTTCCACAAAGAAGAGGGGGTCAACTTATTTTCCAAATTACCAGAAAGCAGGACATGAAGCAAAGGATGGAAACTAACCAAGAAGAGAAGCAACCTGGAACTAAGGAGAAATTTCTTGTCAGTGAGAACAATCAACCAGTGAAATGGCTTGCCTTCAAAACTTGTGAGTGCTCCATCACTGGACAGCCATTTCTCTGGAATGGTATAGAGTCTCCTGCTTGAGCAGGGAGTTGGACTAGAAGACCTCCAAGATCCCTTCCATCTCTGATGATTATGATGATAATGATGAAGCTTCTCTATGCCTCACCTATGGCACTTTTGTCAGCCATGATAGACAATAGATCAAATTCTCTCAAGGCCATATATCTTTTTCTTCAGGATGTCTTTAATTGAGATGGCAATGCTAGAGCTGGGCTCCTGCACACTACAAACACTGGGTGTGCTTTGGCTGGTGAGTTTCTTTGTACTTACGGTTGGACATAGGATTAGAAAAGATGAAGGTGGAATGCTGGGATTACATGAATAAGTAACCTATGCAGTGTTTAATTTGGAATGTCTGATTTCTACCTCCCCTTAGCATACTAGGGAACTACAGCCAAGACTATACAGATCCTCTACTTACAACTTAATACAGCCTGGAATTTCTGTCATAAGTCATGACTATTGTGAGTTGAGGCACCCATGTGATCGGACCTGATTTTATGACTCTTTTTTTTTTGCCTCAGTTGTTAAGTGAACGCTGTGGGTATTAATCAAACTCTGTGATTGTTAATTGAATCAATGTATTCCTATGGGGGGAAACTGGCAAAAAACATAGTATAAATCACGTTCACCTGACTATAGAATGTTGCAACTGAATGTAAAGGTGAGACAGTTGCCAAGTACCTGAAATGCAGTCATGTGACTGTGGAGGGATGAGATTTTGCAGCCATTGGAACACCAGAACTGGTTGTAAGTAGCTTTTTGTGAGTCTGTCATAACTTTGAATGGTTGCTAAGTGACTGGTTGTTAAGTGAGGATTACTTGTATATGTAACTGAAGTTCCAATGTAAATAAGATGTTGGATATATGCAAGACTGCCTGGGAGACTTTTTTGTGCCCATCCATCACATCAACCTGGTTAAATTGCTTCTTACTGAAAGTGCTTAGTGTTTTGGCTAAACCAGTTTCCCAAATCTGGATAAATAAGGGTAAAATTGGATAAAAATGGTTATTCTTTGGCTAATTACACACTTATTAATCAATCACAACTTCAGATTAGCAGTAAAACATATTTACAGATGTGGTTTTTGGGAAGCCCTGGGCTAAACTGTCATTTCAAGCTTCACTGCAGTCAGCCTTTTGAGTTGGCCAGGTTAAGAAACAGCATGGATTCTTTTTATTGTTGTATGGCAGGACAGTAGAATCTTGGAATCTTAGAATTTCTGTTCTATCATATATCTATCAAGCTCTGATGATGCCGGCAGGTGACGGCGAAAGCTTGGCATTTTTAAATTAAACTTTTATAGTTTTAATTACCTTGGTGCTCATTTTATTTTAATATATATATATATGTTTTCTGAGGTTTTCACGGGTGTTTGTATGTAGGTCTTTGGTTATTTGGGTTTTCTCCCACGTAAAATTGGAAGTGTCTTGGCGACGTTTCGACGAAGTCTCATTCGTCATCTTCAGGCTGGTGCTTTAGGCTTTAGGCTTCGTGCTCCTAGAAGCCTAGGAGCACGAAGCCTAAAGCACCAGCCTGAAGATGACGAATGAGACTTCGTCGAAACGTCGCCAAGACACTTCCAATTTTACGTGGGAGAAAACCCGAATAACCAAAGACCCATATATATATATATATATATTATATATATATATATATATATATATATATATATAGGTCTTTGGTTGTTTGGGTTTTGTCCCACGTAAAATTGGAAGTGTCTTGGCGACGTTTCGACGAAGTCCCATTCGTCATCTTCAGGCTGGTGCTTTCAGCTTCGTGCCTCGAGCAGCAGTGTGTGGTCTTGGCTGTTTCTTCCTTTTAACTGCCAGTGGAGGTATGAACTGATTGGGTGGGAGCTTGGCTGTGTTCTGATTGGGTGGAGGTGTGTTCTGATTGGTTAGGGGCTTGGCTGTGCTCTGATTGGCTGGGGGGTTGGCTGTGCTCTGATTGGCTGGGGGGTTGGCTGTGCTCTGATTGGCTGGGGGAGTGTTCTGTTTGGTTGTGCTCAGGTTAGTCTGAGTTGCAGAGGGATTCAAGATTTTGGGCTGCCCTGCAATTCCTTGGCTTCGCGTTCGTGGGCAGCCCAAAATCTTGAATCCTGTATGAACCTAAATATAAATGAATCAGAACATAAGCATGAACACAGTTTTCTTAGTGTCAGAATACAATAGAGGGTTTTTTTCCCACTGCCTTTCTCCATTTTAAAAAAAATATTATTATTATTTTCCAGTCTAAAAATTTAATACTACAGGTTTCCTATTAAAATACTAACCAGGACTGACTCTGCTTAGCTTTTTGAAGATCAGCCAGGTTGGTTAGTTGGAGCCATCTTTTGTGATGACTGGTGACTACATGAACAATTTTTGGTCACAACACAGAAGTTGTTTGTTGCTGCTTTCTTCTAGGATAACTTTCAACTTCTTAGTCTAATATCTAGATTTAGATTGGAGATTTGTGTTGCAGTTAAGCTTTTTTATGTATATATTTAATAGATCTGTGAGAGTTAGTATTGTATACCAATGATGAAGTGCAGAACAATTTATCCTGGGGATTTGAGGGCTATAAATTGCTCTGTAGGCTGAAAAATACTTATAGAAATAACACGGTGCAGTTTCAGTTTAAACTGCTTAATGATGCCTGTCACATCTTAGTTTTATTGGGCATCAAATATAGAAACCTGTGGGTAAGTGGTAGAATGGAGTTCTCAAGAGAAAACCTAAATGTTACAAGAAGAAGGTTGATTGTAAGAAGTTGCTGAACTAATAATCAATTACAGTAAACTTCAACAATCTCAAGGAAGGCCTATTAAGCTGAAAAGTATGAATTTTGGATTGCTGTTAAGGCAGGTAGTAACAAATTTAGCAATGATCATCTTTAAGTCAGCAACTAAACATTCTAGTTCAGTTCTCCATAGGGCAATTCAATTGCATTTTTTCCAGTGTCTTTATTTTATGAATAAGATGGCCCAAAGATGCTTTTTCAAAAGGCAACTGGACTTTTCTTTGTTTTTTCCTTCAAGGAAAAAAAAAATCCAGTTGCCTTTTCAAAAAGCATCTTTGGGACAACCATGACCTGGATGATTGGGAATCTCCATAGACATATGAATAGGATGGTAATTTTTAGGAGAAAACTGTTATTATTATTTGTAGATGGTTTCTGTGAAATTATGCGAATGTAATATCAAAGAAATGTAAAATCCAGTACATGCAAACCAAACTCAATTTATTCTTCTGACTGTGGCCATTTATCCCCACAATTCAGACTTGCTCACTATTGGACTTTATGTGTTTAATCCAATTGTGTTGATAAGAAAAATCAACACGATTAGATAAAATACAATTGCTTTGATTTCATAGACAAGACTTTGAGAATCACATAAGGAAGAATATCATTCAAACATAACTTAACTTGTAAATGTTACTGCCACCTGTTTTTCCATTCCAATCCTTCCTGCTTTTCCCTAGTTATTTGGACCTGCTGAATTTCTCAGTTCCTTTCAATAGCATGTGATGAGGTATAGCAGGAAGAGGCCATTCACACAGAACAGCTTTTCTCAATGTTGGCTACTGTTGGGACTTTAGCTCTGGGGAATTGAAAATGCTGCCTGAGGAATTCTGGGGTTTGAAATCTGTACATCTTAAAATGGATAAGGATGAGAAACACTGACTTAGAGTAATTAGGAAAAGTGCCTGTACTTTCTATGGAGCTATTCCAGGTTCAGTCTATCACTCTGCACAGAGTTTGGTATCTAGACTCAAAATAAGACAGAGCCACATATTAAACATGACAGTTTGATGCTGCTGTGATGCAGATCTAAGTGTCAAACATTAAAAAAAGGAGGAAGACAAATATTTAATTCCATCCAAAATTAGCTTTGTCCTTCACCAAGTGCAGTAATGCTTGTAAATCCAAAATAACAAATATGTAGTCAATCTGTCCACTTGGGTTGTGCTTCAAATCTCAGAATTCCTGTTTTAAACACTACATATGGCACTATATAAAAGCAAACCAAATAAAACTAGATTCGAATTGTTATTTTTAAACAAATAATTACAAGAAACAAATATTTATATACGTAAGGCCTAAGGTAGTCCTTGATTTACAACCATTTATTTAGCAACCGTTAGAAATTACAACAGCACTGAAAAAAGTGACATATGACCAGTTTTCACAGTTACAACCGTTGAGGCATCCTCACGTTCATGGGATCAAAATTTGGGCACTTAGCAACCAGCATGTATATACAACAATTACAGTGTGATTGCCATTTGCGACCTTCTCAGCTGGTTTCTGACAACAGAGACAATAGGGGAGGCTAGATTCACTGAACCAGGACATGATTTACTAACATTGCTTAACAACATTTACAAAAGAAAGAAAAAAGGGAAAAGATTGGGCATAGGTTACTTAATAATTACCATTGGCTTGCTTAGCAATGGAAATTCTGATCTCAGTACTGGTCATAAGTTGAGGACTGCCTGTATTTTGAGCTACCATGTCTGTGATGCAAAAATTGAGCCACTCCTAGATTCAGAAAATCTTTGCTCCCATCTGGTGGTGGTTCAGATTTTTGCATATGAATAAGCGCAACTATTGTAACCTCGGAACTGGATCTCTGATCTTGCCTGATTTCGGCTAATTCTTTTTCACGTGTGTTTCTTGTTGCAGAAACTGGAACACAGAGAAATTCTAGTTGGCCTGTTGTTCCTGATTTTCCCCTTCATGCCTGCTAGCAACCTCTTCTTCAGGGTGGGATTTGTTGTAGCAGAACGCATCCTGTATATGCCTAGGTAATATTCATATATTTTAATTCCTGTACGTTGCAATACTCAACCATGAGTTTTGAAATTATGCTCTTTATTACACTGGTTTTCCACAAGCTATCACTTCTGAAATTTTCCAAGATGTAAAAAAAAAAAAAACTAGTAGTAAAAACATCCCCAATTTGAAGTATTTTGTTCTGTTGAACCCCATCTTCTTCAGCCAGATAGGTCAAAATATTCAGAGGAATTGTGGCAGGCTGCCATAATAGTTTTCTTTAGCTGTATGTGGTGATTTCATATAAAGCTGTTCATATATTGCACCATCTTTTTAAAAAAATAATCTTGGCTCACCAGGTGTTAAAATAATCTATAGGATGAGCTTGAGATGAACATATTCTCTAGGTCTAGGACTTTACTGAAATAGGTGCTGCATGGACATTAATTCTCAAATGGCTCAGCTGAGTTTTCAGTTTGTAGAAACCTGATCTAGGTGAGCATTTCTGGATGGACAACTATTTTCTATAAACCAGCCTTCTCTGAAAAGAGTTCAGTATAAAATCAAAGAAGTTGCCTTGGGTTGTAATTATTGGCTTTGTGTGTGTGTGTGTGTGTGTGTGTGTGTGTGTGTGTGTGTGTGTATTTAAAAAAGATTAAAAACCAAACTAACATAAAATAAGAAAGAAAAAAAAAAAGAGGAAAGCAAAACAAGTAAGAAAAAAGTTGAGAAAAATAGAAAAGAAAGAATAGAGACGCAAAGAAGTGGCTTCTGATATTCTTCACAATAATTATAGGTTTTATTGGGGTTTGTTTATATGGAAATGATTTGATAGAATCACCCTGTTTCTTATGGAATGGACGAGTAAATGGCAGACTTAAGGTTATCAGATTGACCCATGTTTTTCCCAAGAATAACTTTGAAGAGATGTTGAGTTTTACTTAATAAAGTAAAGACATTATATTAGGGGGTACATCTGTAGAAGATGTTAAGAATGAACAATAACATTCAAAAAAAATTACTCCATTACTATAGGGTGTTTGTTGTTTGTTTGTTTTGGTCATTTCCACCTCAGTTCATCTCTATCATGAGAGTCAGTTTGGGGTAATAGGTTAAGTGGCAGGCTAAAAATCAGGAGCTGGTGAGTTCTAGTTCTGCCTTAAGCACAAGGCCAGCTTTGGGTGATCTTGGGCTGGTCACTCTCTCTTAATCATAGGAAGAAAGCAATGGAGAAACCACTTCTTAAATCTTGCCAATAAAACTGCAGGGATCAGTCCAGGCAGTCACCAGAAGTCAACACTGACTTGAAGGCACGCATGCACATACACACACACACAAACATCTGTCACAGGATGCTGGTTTTTTTTCTTTTTTCTTTTTTTGAGGGCATGTTCAGTTCATCATGGGAACTGACTTGATCTTATAGGAGAGTATTTGTGGACACTATTCATATTTTTCATGGGAGCTTGCCTGACATTTTTGATTTCCTAATTAAAGAACCCATTATAATGTACATTTGTAAAAAAAAAATTGCTAAAAGAACAAATTTGAAAACAACTGTCTTGTTCAAAAGAGTTCATTGTTCAGCAGTGCTTCAGAATTATTTTATCATCTTGTCATCTATAAGCACTATAACTAGGACCATTGATTAAAGTAGATATTTTAGTTGCTTAATGGAAATGACTGAAACTGCTGAATGTATTTATATACACTCAGACATTTTTAGCTTTTTTAATAAACATTATGAAATGAGAAGAGAAAATATGATTGTATGAATAATGTATGAATAAATATATCATTATTATATTTATTAATAAGAAAAAGCTGATAGTGCCCCAAGTTCTAATTAACACAAAACTAGAATAGTATCATCCAGGAGATTAATGGGCTTATGATAACTCCAGATTTTGGAGAAACACAAGAGGAAGAAATCTTATGGGAAAACCCAACAGATAGGTAGTCCTCAACATAACAACAATTCACTTAGTGATCATTCAACCTTATAATGGCACTGAAAAAAGTAATTTATTACTTTTTTTCACACTTACAACCATTGCAGCATCCCCATGGTCAACGTGATCAAAATTTGGATACTTGGCCATTGGTTCATATTTACAGCAGTTGCAATGTCCCAGGTTCATGTGATCAACTTTTGCAAACTTCTGACAAGCAAAGTGAATTGGAAAACCAGATTCCTTTAACAACTGTGTCACTAGCTTAACAGCTGCAGTGATTCACTTAACAACTGTGGCAAGAAAGGTCGTAAAATGGGGCAAAACTCACTTAACAAATGTCTCACTTAGCAATAGAAATTTTGGGCTCAGTTGTGATTGTAAGTCGAGGACAACCTGTATCCCAATGAGAACTTATTTATTTATAGAATATATTGGCCCTCCTATCTTATCATAAGGTAATTCTGGGCAGCTTACAATCATAACTGGACATATTTGTTGGTATGTATGCTCACTGACCTTTCAAAGCCAGAAAATGAAAACAATGGAGATGAAGCAGGGATGGGATCAAGGATGGTGGTCCTGAACAGAAACAGCGTGCATTATGGGTTCCATGCAGGAGGCTTGAATTTACCACTAGTCCCTGTAGAAGTGGTTGCATTACCATATCAATGGTGCTTACTGGGAATCTAGACATCATTGTTCCCCAGTTGTAATCTCCAATGTTTTCTCCTTATTTCTTCCATCTTTTTTTCTTTTTGCATGTATGCATCCATGATGTGTGATTCTACAAAGATACATACACAGAATCTACTAAGTAGGAATTGATAGATCTAGGACTCTTTGTCTACCACCCAAAAAGTGCCATGTTAATAAAATCCTAGACATATAATCCTGAAGATGGTGGGGCTGAGTCTCTTTTATATTTTCTTGCCCAAAGCTTATTAAGCTTGGGTTGTTTGATCTACTAATGAAAGCCTGCAGTCCTGCTTCGTAACGTATAGTAAGACTTATGATTTTTCTCGTGCTTCATGTTCTGTAATAGTTTTATTGAGTGACAGAAGTGTAGCTATCCTGGCAATTTGGCAGCATGCTTCAAAAATCCCTCCCAATTTGGCTCAAGATACCTTGTGATATTACAGGAGAACTTTTAGTTTGAAAGGAGAAAAATACTTTCTTCTAGGATGGGGCAATTTATATATTACTGCTAACCAGAAGAGAAGGCTAATTCAGAGGCCCTTCTGGTGGTTGTCAGCCTTCCCTGTTGATAAGCAACAACCATCAGTAGTTTATTGAAAAGGAGAGTAAAATGAAAACCAACAGTGGCTGCAATCTGAGGTAGGATCTGACAGAAAGGAGTCAGATGCTATCTCAAATTGTAGTCATTGCCTGTTCTTATTTTGCTTAAGATTGTCATCTGAAGTGTATCTTCCTTAATTTTTTAGCATGCTGCTGGGAGTTTGAAACTCTATATCTTTCCCATTTGATAATTTGATTCTGAATTTTCAACTATAAAAATTGTGCTATGGTTTCAGTACTGTAATTTAAATCTCAGATGAAAAAGTACAAGATCTAATCTGTAAAATGATTAGATTTGTGATTTTTTTTTTAAATTCTGAGGCCTCTCTGGAACATATTCTAGTTAAAAAAATTGGAGCATTGAGAAAGCATATGACTGCTTTCCAAAATATAAAATACTGCTAAATATTCTGTTGTGTTTTTTAAACAATGAATCTTGAATCTTCTATCAAGAAAACTTGAGAATAATAACTCCTCCTCCTCCTCCTCCTCCTCCTCCTCCTCCTCCTCCTCCTCCTCCTCCTCCTTTCCTGAAATTTGGAGGGCTTGAAGTGAGCAACGGTTGAATACTTACATCGTTGCCATCTCTGGCCTAAGAAGCACTGATTCTTGCTTTGTTTCCCACAGTTGATATTGCCTCAATAATTTGAGGTTCAGAAGTAATTTTGAAAAGAAAAATTATAGGTAGTCCCTGCCATTATGGTTGTAAATCCCGATGGTTGTTTATCAGAACACCTATTTGACCAACCGGATTTTATGACCTTTTTTGCAGCAGTCCTTAAGTGATTGCTACAATCATAAAGTGACTGTTGCGATTGTTAAATGAATCAGTTGCTCATTGTTAAATGAATCAGTGGGCTATTTATGCCAATAACTGGATATAAATGTCTGTTTTCTGCAAAAACATTTAAAAATGTAGTCAGGTGACAGCGTGATGTGGCAAGTAGCCACATATGTGTGACTAGGGTGGGGTGGTTAAGCAACTGGTCATAAGTCAAGGACTTCCCGTAATTTTTTAAAAAGACAGAAAAGAGGTCTTGTATGTTAGAACAATATAGGTGTTTCTGTATCTGCACAGATACTAGGATTTTAGCAACTATGCAGAGATATATTGCATGTGAGACTGTTTTTACTCTGCTGCACAGGTTTTACAATCCTAAGCATTTTTATTAAGAATTAAATTCCCGTTTTTGAGAACAAGAGGATAATGATCTGGAAATCCTTTTAGGAGGCAGGTTTCTCAAGGCAGATGAGATATTTCCCCAGGTGATACACAACGAATGAGAAGTTTCACAATGGAGGATGATAATTATTGGTCACCGTTGCATATTTCAAAGCATCAGCAAAATTCATGCATGTTACCTGTTATTTCTCAAAAGCATCTGAGGAAATTGCTTACAAGTCACGGTATATTGTTTTGCTCCTGGATAGAAGCCAGGAGACTCTTAAATTCTAATTCCACTTTAGATATGAAAGCTGGCTGGTTAACTTTGGGCCCGTCACTCTCTTTCAGCCTAGGAAGCCGATTGGTCAATTCTTGTCAATAGTTTAGGATTTTGTTTGACCCCCCCCCTCTCCCTCTCCCTCTCTCTCTCTCCCTCTCCCCCTCCCCCTCCCCTTCTCCCCTCCTCCCTCCCTCCCTCTCTCTCTCTCCCTCCCTCTCCCCTCCCCTCTCCCCCTTTCCCTCCCTCCCTCCCTCTCCTCCACAGCCCAGTATTTATTTTAGAGAAGATATTATTACTCTCTTGCTTTCAGTGTTATTTGCCTTTTTAAATTTTCTG